TCGGATAATCGGAGTTCTACTGTATTGACGTAGTAGACGGACTCTGTGCGATGTACGGCCTATGCGGGACTATTCTTTCGTGTTTCTTATGTATATATATTGTGAACAATTTTTGAAATAAAGGAGATTTTGATTTTATTTTATTTAAAACTAGAACGTTTCGTCTGCGTCCAAGGTGCTTATGACGCTGATTAATTTCCGTTTTAAATAAATCGATAATATTTGTTGAAAACTGCTTTATTTCCTAGCCAGTTGTCAATTTTGGGCAAAGCTTAAGTTTGCAAATCACTTAACTCAGAGGTAAAAGAGTTAACTCCTACACCAACATCTTCTTACCCAAACCACCCTCAACATGCTAGAAGAATCTTTACCATGACGGTGATATGTTTCACAGAACCATGGTGTATGATCAAAAGTATCTCTAGGGAACACGTAGGTTGGAGTCACAAGCAGATTGCTCTCAGACTTGACAACATAGGATTTAGCAGTCGCGTGATTGCATCAAGGCAAGGTTATCTCTGACATTGCATGCTGCACGTCGTAAATGAACCTCCTGCACCTTGGCGACACGATCTTTAGCGGCACAGCGTCAGCTTCAATGTGTAGGTGTATACATCGATGTATATTGCATGATGTACTCTAGCCAAGCAATGCACTTATCTAGGTGACACTAACTAGTCAGAACCACTTTGCCTGCAGCTTGCTACGTCGAGAGATGTCTTTGACGAGATGCACTCTGCCGTTGTACGTCGTACAATATGTGAACTGCTCAGTGTTGACCTTGGTGACACGACCTAGGCAACACGACCTTGTCACAAACACTCTGCTGATGCATGCAAACTGTCGTTGACGGTCGAAGGCTCGCCGCTGGTCGCTCCCACACGACAATAGTGCTCACTTGCAACAGCAAGGTCACTCACTGCAACTGCAGATGAATCGCTATCATTGAACACCATGACACCGCTCTAGTATCTCGGGAACTGGAAATGTTTCTTCTAAACATAGACTACCGGGAATATGTGAAGAATCAATGATCTTTCGCTAGATTCAGCATTGTCAAGCTTGAGAAATCATCTTTATATGAGAAATCTTTATTGAGAAATCTTCTGTATTGTCCTCTTTTCAAACAACAGGTGATTTAACTTCAGTATTTGCAAATTTACCGGAAAAGGAAGGGACCTGCGACCGGAAGCTTTGATAATCTGTTGCCAGCGCCAGCTGAAAGACGCTGGGAATCAAAAACAGCTGATATGAGTGTTACCTGCCACAACCAGCTGACTACCCCACCCCTCTCCACCTACCACTCATCTAACAGCTGGACTTCTTTTGTCTGCTTGGCTCTTCATTTACAGGTGTTTTTAATACTTTATGTAAGGCGTTATAATAATCATGTACGTACATACCTAGTTGTAGAGTAACCGTGTAAATAGGCGAATACAGGGTGATCTATCCCCATCGCATTATAATCAAAAAGAAGGCCTACAGGCACGGGTAGTGTTGGGTATCTGCGTTGCGTTGAACTAAAGGTTGAAATAAACTTATAATAAAAAATGACTAAATAGCTATGTGGACTGTAAAATTGTGTATATTTGAAAAACAATGAATATAACAGATGTTAATTAAATCAGCACAAAACAAATGTTATAGAGGAAACAAGCAATATGATAATTTGGCAAAGAGTATCAAACAGGTTGTCTTATCAACTACTACCTTGAACGTCTGAGTTTCCCAGGAGATTGTAGGCTATAGTTAGTCAAAAATGTACTGGTTACCCTTTGTGATTGTTTATGCTATTGGACTTGTTTACATTCTCTCTGTTCAAACCCTGGTCTTATTATTGTCTGACGTCAACCTTTTATTAGATATCATCATTAAACAATAGCCCAATCACAAATGGTATTCGGGTCTAGAATCAATCTCGTCAATTTGCTGTATCCAAAGTCAATAACAACCATTGACGAATATACATTACGGCAAACCATCAGATGTGTCTCTGATGTACTATTGTTTGCAGAATTGACAGCTTTGAAGTTACAATCCTTGGAAAGAGTTATATAAACCATTTTAAATATTATAAAGTAATCCAGAAACTAACAACCCTTGAAAATTAATCTTGGAAAAGGTTTTCTAAATACTATAATCCCGGATATGTAAACTGAGGGATACAAATTCTTGACCACTTCTAGATGAGCTAGAGACTTGAAATTTTCGGTGGACGTAGGTCTAGTGCCCAAACCCCCGGGAAAAATCCAAAAAGTCGTATTTTCAAATTTCAACCTCCCTGAAATTTCAAATTCCCCCCCCCCCCATGCTATTCTTTGGGGAAATAACATTGAAAAATACCGACTTTCGTACGCTCATCTGAACCGTTTAGAAACGTGCTAGAGACCTGAAATTTGGTAGTATTGCAGTACGGGATCTTACATTAACGGTGAAATTTGCAAAAGTCCCATTTTCAAATTTTAACCCCACCGAAAATCCAAAATGGCGGACCTCTGAAAACGAAAAAACACGTTTTTTTTCAAACGGCTGTATCTCGAAAACGGTAAGAGCTAGAAAAGATTTGAAAGGATTTTCATGAACAGGAATTACATTTTCTACAAAACCCTCTTGTGCGTTTTCCGAAAATCGTACTCCTTCAGCTTCAAAAAAACGCCCTACTTTCAAAATTTGGTAAATTTCTTTCAAATTTTTACCGGTTTTCGCTATTTTTTTATACTTAAATAATTCCTTTTCGCAAATATTATTATTCCTTTGTATTCTCCTTAGTTTACTTTAAATTTGACACACTACATGTTTTTTCGTAACTTTACTCCTTGACCCCCAAAACTTAATTTTAATGTCGAAATTTGAAAGTGTGTGACCTGTCACAGGCCGGGCAAGGTCATATTTAATTATGAAATATATTAAATGGTTGCTTAGTAAGTCATATTATATTAAAGAAACACAATTATAACCCAGTTGTAAAAATACTTAACTAACATACTCTCTTACCGCAACTTTAAAATTGATTTTTTATGAGGTGTTCCTTAAGGTCGAGCTCGAAGTTAACGCATATAACTTAATATTGGCGGTTTCACTTCTTGCTTTGTTACAAAATTCTAATCTACTAATGACGACTAACAGCTAGCTGTATACTAATGACGACTAACAGCTAGGGGGTCCCCAGCGAGCCAAAGGCGAGTCAGAGATTATAAACTATTCAAGTATCAATATTCTCACTCGTGTCGTCAGATTGTTTCAGTATGTTTCACAACCATTGTCATAATCAAGACAGAAGGCGAAGTTGAAAACACTTTAAACATTAGATCTTAGCTGATTCTTGTTTCGACCAAGATTTAAATAGCGTGAGACTAATATTATCAATCTTGCTTGATTGGGATTATAGTTTTAAATTATTTATAAATAAGTTACATGCTTAATAGAAAAAAAATATTAGAGTTTGTGTGTTGATGAAACTTCTTTTGTCCAAGAATTTCTTTGTATATTAAATAAAGAACCTTCTTGGTGGTGTATGGCTTTGTTGGACTGAATCACTCATTTTGACAATATGAAACAACTAATGACATAATTAACAAACCCTTAGCACAAACATGTGAACAGGTGTCAGAGTCAGAAGGAAAGAAAGAACATAAGGAAGAAGAGGAACAATTTAAATGACAAGAATAAATTACAATTTTTAAAATGGTTATATTACAAAAATTAATTACACTTTTCCATTTGATGTACTTCACCTGATAGGCCTATATATATATATATATATTGGCTACGATTTAATGAATATATTTTTTACTAACGCTTTACAGTCTGAAAAAACTCTTAGTTTACAAGTTCGATCTCCTCGACTCGATTCATTCTACCTCCTCGATTTATACTCTTCCGACCCAATTAGGGAAGTGACTGAAGTGATATTGAAACTTTCTGGGAAATTTAGTGTAGAGGCGAGTATGTTGGCAGCCGTGCAGGGTTACTACAATGAGCAGGTCTACTACGACCACGTGTTTTGTTGGGGGAGGGAAGGTCGTCAGTTTTGGCGGGAGAACACCAGGTGTCTTACAGCAGGTAGATCCTCCCCTAGCTTCAGGCAATTCAAGGGTCAATAGAAAAAAGATTCAGTTCCCGACACGCTCCGCAACCAAATCGAGGTTTACTGAAGTAAAAGAACAGAGAAGAAAAGAATCTGCAAGTTAGACAAGCTGTGAGAAAAATAAAACTGTCAAAAGAAATCATTTACTAGTTCAAATTTAAAGGTTTTTTTTATCGTGAAAGAATGGATTTAAGTTTTCTAAAAAGTTGATGACTTACCAACACTGAATTGTTTAAAGAGTCATCACCATTTATGTTAAAATATGATAGGAAAAATGTATTCGCAAAAAAAGAAATGATTTAAGTTTTGTGCTGTTCCAAAGACTTGATATTCCTTGTAATCGGCTTCATCATTGTTCGAGTTGACTTACCTTACAAAATTGTCTTCTTTATGAGATCACAATGTTGTAATGGTGACAATCTAATGTTTCTTCTATCCATTTCAGTTCTTTGATATTAACAAGTTTTTCTAAAGTCTTTTCAACTTTGGGTAAATAGATTTATTTATTGGTCCAATTATGAATAAAGAGAAAATCACTTTAAACTCACACGTAGATGATAAATTGAGGAATATTATATAAATATCACAACAGGATGATAAGTGATAGCATTGACTATACACCTGTGATAGGCATAAATATGAGATTGCTTTTAGAAGCCTATTAACAAGTAGTCTATTATATTTCATATTAAGAAATAACTGATTCTCTACGGTTACACATTGAGATTAGCTGGCAGAATTACAGTACATCCTTATTTGATACTTTAACACTTAGCATTGTTAGCTGGTGAATGTATTCATGAGGCCGACCTGATTGATGGTCGTAAAAAGGTATTGTACTTCAGTTATATATTAACTATCGGTTTAAAACCTTAAACACAACAAGGATGATGTAGAAATAATAAGATTTGTAATAGTGTTAAACAATTTATTTCATCTCAATATATATTCTACAAGATTTAACAACAGAGATGAAACACCTTCCCCATGGGGGACCCCTTATACTACAAACCATAACATCGTTTCTTTTTACACAAATACAAATAATTATATTTTGAGATCAATATTAATACATCACAGGTGTTACAGTAATTAATCTTAGATATTAACAAAGAAATATATATATTTTATTATTTTTTATTTATTTAGTGCAACGAGATCGAGCAGTCCTTCATTCTAGAGCAGCACCGGAGTAATATGTCGATTGTGATTAGTAATTAGTAATCTGTGATCAGTAATTGTACCAATGGTTGCACACTGGTCGAGAGAAATATGATTTTAAACACGGTATGATGTAAATATTGAATAACTATCTACAATTTGTCAAAGAAACTTGAGAAAATGTAGGAAAAGAATTAAAATAAAGTCACTTAAACGAAAAACAGTCAAACATAAAAAAGTTAACCACATTATAAGTTGTAAAGGGCTAGTACAGATAGATATGAGACGAATTTAAGTGCTCAGTTCAAGTAATATTTGTTGTCGTTACTGTGTAAAAAAAGTACTAATCGAATGTCTTACATTTGTAACTGTTATTTAGGTCCATTAAAACTGAAGAGTTTTCAGCCTGAGGACAATTTTCTTGCAAATTACATTAAGTTGACAAAATGTGTGGAGTTGAGTGAACTGAGCACTTGGTGGAGGTGAAGTGCCTAACTCTACCTTCAGTTGTACAGGACACAAGCCCCCACCGCTTTGGTACAACATCTCTTTGGACACCCAGGTGAGATCTGGGGGCTCATGTCCTGCGCCTTAACTATGTCTAAAGCTTATACACCTGGCGCTGAGTGTGAACAAAATGTAGGTGCAAACCAGACAGAATAAAACACAAGTCTACTCTTAATCATAGAACAGTTAAATGGTACGAATCGAAACATTTTAAAAGTTAAACTACTATTAAGCTACATTCGGAAATAAAACAGAGAGACAGTTAGTACAACAATGTTAAGATTATTAATAAATTCTAGCAGCGTTTTGGTTATAGCTATAAATTTGCACTTACATAAAGATAACGACTAATTTTGTACTTATCGTCTTCTCAATCCCACATACGTGTTACTATGTTCTCGGTGTAAAATTGTAAATCATACACTATTGGTAGAAGAGTAAAAGCCCAAATACAATAACAAAAGCAAGTAAATCGACAGTTAACAGCACTGTGTGAATAAATCTGTTTTAACAGCACAGTAGGCGAAATAATAAACAACTATTTAATTAAACTAAAAAAAACTTTGAAATTCTAAGCTGAATATATATACCACTGCCAGTATAGTATAGTGTAAAATGGTGAACAAAGAATAGTGAAAATAAGTTATATCATAAAATGGAACAAAGAAAATAACAGCAAATAACCCTTCCTAAACCGACGAGCCTGGAGATCAAAGAAAAGATAAAATAATATATTTTTGTATCTAATTACAGTACAAAATAAAACTCTTATAAATTATTCTACATCTCTGGTACTATACATTTATCTCTAAACTATCTACAATATATATTTTGTCTAATATAACTCGTTGTACATAGTAAACTTTGAAACAGTTGAGATGAGATCTTTGAAGGTCGCAGAAGGTGAGGTTATTGCCGCGTCTTGCTGCGCTTGCGCTTGGAGGACTCCGAAGTGGTGCCAACCTTGGACGATGAAATATCCCCGAGCGACGCGCTGCCAACCTTTCTCGATGAAATATCCCCTGCGCTGAACGACCTCTTACGGCATTTCATGAAATCTGTAACAATAACAAGACGTCAGACATCTCTTAGTAATTGTAACATTTACATGACTGTAAACCAAGTGGATAAATATCATTTTAACTATTCGTATGAAATATAATAACTTTCATGCAACAAATCAGAATGTAAAATATACAAAACTGAGCAGAGATTAAAAACCTAATTATTGAGTATATCAGTAGTTTTTACCTCAGGAACCAAGAAATTGTTAGAGCGGACCAAGCTTAGAGTTAAGTGGTGGGCAATCACGAGCAATAGACGCGATTTGATCAGCAATAAAATCCGAAACCACAAAGGAACACCTTCTGGAGGCAAAATTACACTTTTTACCCCGACAGTAGGGGTTGAGGGTTAGGACTGGGAGATAACGAGAAATAAACCACGGACCTCTCAGCAGCCTATAATTCAGGGACCATCTGGCTGGCGAGGGCAATAAATTAGGGATCTCCGGGGCCAACGGGTCACCTGTTTTCAATAAAAAGGTTTACAAGACACGACAAGCGAACACGATTTCTTCGTTACGGAGAATAGAAAATAGTTGATCGTCTAACGAAGTTTAAATCACAAAATTGGGTCATGTACAGTAATGTTTAGTCTAGTTTGTGGTAAATATGTTACAAGTGATAAGGTCATTGCGGTAGATAACACCCGGGATCGTCGAATGCTCAGACATTCGATTGTCGGAAACGGAAAATATGTCAACTTTAGGAGATACACCTAAAGGACTTTTATCACAAGCAAAACTCATGAAATTGCTTCTAAAGTGGCTTAAAACTGAAAATGAGAGCGTTCAAGTGTATTTTGATATCCGTGAGATTATCCTCCCTCTTTTGCAACGAGATTGACATTCAAACGACAAAATGCTTTCCCAACATGCAACCACTGAAGAAGAGGGGAGTTTTATGCCATGAGATATACAATCTCCTTTCAAGAATACAAAGTAACATAAAACTGGCCGTCCAGAAGAGATTTAACTAGGCCGCGACAATAGGCGGATAAGCGAAGGGAGAGCGGGTCTTTCACTAGCCAACCCTTTATTTATGAGGTCGATCCCGGTTATTTATGGGGTTAATTCGACCTGCATTGGTCAGTGCGAATAATTCGTGTGAGAAGTCACCGGAAGGAAGGGTCAGCAGGGGTCAAGCGTCCTCGTGGGGTCAAAACAAGGTGATCAGAGACGAGAAATCGAGCGTGAGTAACTAACAATGGGAGACTAGTGGAGTATGAAGACAAATCTCGGAGAACAGCTGCGAGCTGCGACCAAAGTTTCAAAACAGCCCTTAGACAAAGTGTTATCCGGGCGTCCGGGCGCTGCCCTCATCTTGCGACATTAGACACGTGGTCTTCCGCCCGCTTGCGACATCAGTGGGGATTTGGCAACAACCGTGACAGAAAAAGAACGGGTTACACAAATAAACCGCACCTTTGACGCCGTTTAGCGACTATATTGCCAAGCTGTGTAAAACACAGGGTTACGAGATTGAATAATATTTCGGACAACATTCGCAAACGTATAGAAAACAAAAGACTACTAGATAGTATTATAAAGGTATTATTTACAAGTTGTGTTTTGAGGCGCTGGAATCACAACAAAGTTTCGCTGCTCGTTTCAATCTGCACGCTTCGAACAAGGAGATAACAACCTCTTGAGGAGATATTATCGCGACTCAAGTTAAGGCCTCTAGTAGCTTACACGATTGGTCTACAGATTACATCTCGCAGAATGCGTGTGACGCGCCCACGTGGTTCGCGAGATGCGAGCGGAGCGAACGAGTTAATGATGATGGGGCTTTAATGCCGGGTCACTGACTCGCCGACCCTGGCCCCCCTCTACCAGGAGCACTCAAAAACTACCAGCGTGCGTACTCCTCACAACCAACGGCTTACGTCACCCGCGCATTCGTACTCGCCACGTTCAACTTGTTTTGTTTGTTTTCCTATCAAAGATGACATCATAGCATATTATGCTCTTTTATCATAACTTAGCTCATCAAAGTGAATGTTATTTAATATGATACAAGCAGTACACGAAACACATTATACTAATGAAAAATAGGAAAATACACTAAATACCCTGCATTCGTATCTAAATGGCTTTCATTGTTTTGAAACTGATTTGTCTTATCTTGAGACTTTTCTCGAACTCCTATTTTTACGTCGAAAACAATTTACGCAACAATAAATCGAGGACGTTCTCGGTCGGCTGAACATGAGATAAGATAATCTGGAAAAAACGGATGCCAGATCAAAGGTTTGGATGGGTGATTGATTTACTCACATTGGCGTTATTTACATCATTGCTTGTAATCACTGAATTTGTTGAAATAAGACTATGTGCTCCTACCATGCACGTCAAACATCCATTCTATGATGAGAGTAAGAGCATGTACGGAGTGATGATTAAGTGAGCCTCCGAGTCTGTATATATTTAAGACCTTGTAGCCATGTTATCCGTGTTATCAGTTGCGCGTTCGCTCCACACCGGCATGGCTTATCTCCCCCCCCCCCCCCCACTCCTCAACACCACATACACAGCACAAAGAGAGCAAGTTCAAGGACTTGACGCTCTGTGGACCGATTTGTTCACGAACATTCACTCACCATTTAACTCGGATGTAAATTACAGCCGGTACCTGCCACGTAGACAAACTTATTGCTTTTTCCACCTTCTACAAGCATCGTCACAGCTTTAAAAACTCTCGAGAAATCTTTTTAATTACATAACCGACAAATCTAAGCAGTAAGACAGATTGTAAACACGGATAGGGTCATAAATCAATGAAGGGGCAAAAAGTGCGCAATGATTACACAGCACACGTGCTCTCTCCCCTGGTAGCGGTTTACAAACAGTGGTGACGTCACAGCATCACGTGACTACGCACGTACTACTGTGGCCAGATGTGGCAATCTCCCACGATGCACTTCTGCGTTCCAAAAAACATCAACTGCAGTCACCGTGAAGCTGCTAGCTGTCAGGCCCCCTCGATGACACGGTCACATCGACGTCAACCTCTGGGCTTTGTTTGTTTATGCAGAATATAAGTCAACGTAGAATATAATTTAATTTAAGTAGGACATATAACAACTGTTTTGGTCTATGTGAACATACCCTTGTGAAGTTGGGTTTAATCATAACTTTATAAAATAACGGTGTCCAAAGGACTATCATTTGGATAAAAAAACTTGACCATCTTAAAGGTTTTCGTTTTCCCAACTAATCTCAGCTTCTTGCGTTCCGGATTATTGTCCCAAGCCCAAGAGTTTGTCTATCGGCTACTTGTGTACCACTGACACCCCAGACGATAGAACAGACACTAGCCACCCACCCCTTGTTTTGTTTATAGCCCCACAACATCGTAGTGAAGTGTGTACTACTACTTTATCTCTCGCGGAGTTAAAAGTCCGGGACAGAATTGTAAACATTTCAAATATTATCACCAGCCTACATTTCGTAACCGAGTGTCAGAGTGAGGAACAAGACGACTTCTGACGAAGGTTGGGCTTATTTTCCAACAGATTATCTGATAGAAGTCAAATGTTTACACTACAGATAAGAAGCCAAACACGGCTTCTGGGTTACGCGTCCCAGCCCGAGCCCCAGACTCGGTTGTCTTTCAACATGTACTCGACACTCGTTATGAACACTGACTTGTTATCAATCCGTGTCAAAGCTGCAACGAAACTCATCAACACAAACCATCAATGACCAAACAATGTGTGCGCTAAAGGTCACAAGAGTCCGGCCATTTAAAAAATCACTGCCATTGTATGCAGAACAGGCAGTGATTGGGCTTGGGCCATGACACAATCAACACCTGTGCCGAGGAAAACGGAAGGGCATTCACCTAGTGGTACAGAAATTACACCTCCTGAAAAGTGTAAGTTATTTATTTATGTGACTTTAAAAAAAGCGCGTGCATATAATATATGGCTTAACTATTGGAAAAGGATACACGCAAATTGAGACATTTTCAACCCAAATATAAATGTAAAATGTGTACGATGCCTTTATTTATTTATCCCCCCCCCAACGGCATAACCACTTTGCAACAACATACATTGATTGTTCTATAACTAGTGATAAGATACAATAGTAGGCTAAATATATATAGCAATAAATAGAAGTGCGGAAGTGGGGTATTATTCTGCGGATAATATTGTGTAGCCTTTTTACGGCCTATTATAGTAAACAACTCCCAAAAAAGACTTCTTTATTCGGCTTATCGAGAACGAATTGTATAAAAATGGTCGTTCAAAATGTGTAAGCATATTTTTAGAGTTATATAACAAGGACCAGTTATTTATCTATCTATTTATAAAAGACCTATATTTTTATAATATAACATTATTTAATCCTATCGTAGTGATTGATGGCGATCAGATAAAAAAAGTCCAATTTAAGTGGGATGTTAAAATCTAGGAATTTGCGTTTACGGTAGTTGGAATTTTAGTCATTCGAGATAGCATTTTTACCAACGCGATTCTAGAAATCCTAAACAACAAACCAGCCCCATTCCCCCTACTGGGCTCAAGAGGGGCCATTTGGTATATTAAACAGGCGCGTCCGTCGTCAACAACAATCGACCGTTGTGATGGTACAAAAGTCCCCTTCATCGGGCCACGTGCATGCAGCCTCCCCCGCCACGGGCGTTTAAAATTTAAAACACAACAGCTGGGCGCGGTGGATCGATATCAACGACTTTTAAATCACGCGGCGTAACCTAGTTACCGCTCGTTATCTCTTATCAGCGGGCGTAATGCGTTGTTTACCGCGCTTATCACAACTTCGCGCCAAAAGTGGATGGCCTCGGAATCGCTTCTAACACTATTAACTAAAGTTATCTTCAACATTACAAGTTTCATCTTTGAATTATGTATATCGGCAGTGCGCATGTTTATGGTGTGAACAATGATTTTCATACACAGTATGCCTACTTTATCAGTCTGACGTGTTTATATGCAAGTAAAATCATTATAAAACATTTTGTAGACAAGCCTTTATGGGGCTTATTAAATTCATCCCTACCATATTATCAGAACTTGCTTGTTTATCCTAAAGTTTGTTTTCAATATCACAAAGTGATATGTCTAAAACTGTCAACAGGCGCCCAATTAAGTTGTTTCAGAGTAATAAATAATTGAAATGTTTCAGGTTTTTAGAAATAGTTTTATGTACGTATACTTTCAGTACCAGGGGCTGTACAACGATACAAAATACTAACTAACTCAGTACTTTGACAGCTAAAATAACAAATCATCCTTGTGACCGTGTTACTGAAGTTTATCGCGTAACAACGGGCAAGAAGATTGTTTAGAAACAATGCCACGTCCTTGGGAGGTTGACTTAGCCATATTACAGTCATAAAACGTGCCTCAGCCAAACAACCTTCCTAGGCCGCAACGGTCATAAACCAAACACAAAGCTCCCCTTGGCTACCGGAACTGCAACTCGAGTACAATCACCGAGACATGCGTTTCTCCAGAGCGAAACGTCACATTGATTAGCTCCCAGGGTGTGTTACAATTAACGAAACCAGGGATGTTGATGGTGCCGGTTGGATAAGTTTTTGGCAAAACCAAAATCTCAAAACAATTAGGCCTAGTAAAAGTTGTGGTGAGTCTAATCGTGAGCATAGACCAGTATTATTCTATTTAGCAAGAAAGGGTGATATGTTAAATTTTGAAACATGATAAACTACCGGTACCAAAAGGTTGACATAAACAATAAATTCATATCAATGCAGGCCAAGAAGTAATTAGCCTAATAGTTTATTTCATCACTGGCGCGCAAAGTGACTATTTTCACCCCGAGCGAGGGTTGAAAATACTCTTTTTGCCCGTGTGATATTTCTATATTTCTTTTCTATATTTCTATTTTTTATATTTCTCATCATATTGCACCATTAAAATCAACACCGCGCCAAAAAACACGCCAGCGAAAACAATGATCATGTAAAAAGATAACTTCTCGAAACGACTTCCAGCTTGTTTTCAATTCTGCTAATGTAAGTAAGCAGCTGTTTATAAAATAAATGATTCAATTATTTCATCTATTACGATTGTGTTAGTGAGTACATAATCGCATTGATATGTCGAACTATTGACAGTAGGCTAATGCAACAATTAAGTTAGCTAACCCATAACCTGATAAATCAATCAACAAGTACATTAAATCCATGCGATTGTTTACAATCGAAATTTACAACTGTTTACAACAGCTGATTTTTACTCTTGGGAGTAAAAATGCTTAGCCCCACAAAGCATGATTAAAAACACTTGTTTTTGATGCGGTATGGCGAAAATATATTAAAGCTTATAAGATTTCCTTAAATGTTATGAAAGCTCTAGGCTAATATGTAATTATTGTAAATATTAGAATGAGTAATTGCTGAATAGTATAGTATTTTTGTACTGTTGTGTTCTGACTAATGTAAACTGTGTTATTGTTCCTTTGGCCTAGTAAAATTATTTAATTTGATTTGAATAAACAAAGTATTGAATCACAAACATTGAAAAGTCCCCAGTTAAAAAAACAATGTTCAAAATGTGATATTCAACTCTTTGGAATTAATAGTAAGTTAAGCCTGGCCTAGTTTTAAATAACCACCCTTGGATACTGTTACGATTAGTCTGTTTACTCTGTTTGAAAAAAACGATAAGCTCTACGAGTGACATTATCCGAAGACCAACCTGTTAATTGCGTCTGCTTGTTTGCAGGTTTGGTTCTCTGTGCCGTGTCTTGTGCAGAGCTACTGGAGGTTGTGGTGGCTGTCGTGGACGTGGACACATCTCTCGATCTCACTGTCGCGGCCTCGGTCTGCTGTCCCAGGAACGATAGTCTCCTCAGAGCGTAGGCCTCGGGGATGTTCTCCTCGGGCGTGACACGTTCCCACCGTAGTCTGGAGTTCTCTAAAGGCGCCTCCTTCACAAAGTCAAAGCCCCACCTGTCCGTCTTTAGCTGTCTCATGGCTGCAAGTTCCTTGTCCACGAATGACTGTGCTTCCTCGTGGTTCACAGGACCGAACAGACCTCTCCTGACCCTCGCGATGGCCGCAGGATTCGGGCCCACGTCGCTGTTGCTTCTTCCTATCATTCGTCGCATCTCGGACATCACCAGCGGGTTAAACACACGCGCACTCATAGTCAGTTTACTGGCCACTGTCGAATCACAAACAGGTTTCACAACACAATCTGTAGTCGAAACCACTCCACACAGATAACTACGAGTTCACAGCAACACTCGGCGACAGAGCGGCGCTGTATCGCGGGAGAAATTCAAAATAACCGTCGTTTTGAACGAGCAGCACAAGGATGAAACGGTCCCCAATAACAACAACTGCCGACTGTGATCCGCTTCGGCTGCGGCTCGCGTCGCGTCGCCTCAGTTGACGGGCTCCACTCCCCCCTCCACTCTCCTCGACCAATAGTAAGCGAGCAGTTACGCTTACGCTGCCGCAGGGGGGGCACTCTTGTAGTAGTAAGATATCCCTCCTCCCTCCCTACAATCTCCGTTCTCCCCGTGTCCTCCCTCTTATTCCAGTTACCGAATCTTTCTCCTCAGAATTGATGTTATCATTCAAGAATTAATTAGGGAAAATTGGAATGATTTATGCTTGTTATTCCGAGATATTTTTTAGTTTCCGTTTGCAATGATCCGGCGGATTGAAATAAGCATTTCTTATTCCGAATTCCTTTTAGGCTAACCAAATTATCACTTCGTACCGGTAAATATTATTCCGTCGTAAGCATTATGTTACGCTTTGATCAGTGCGTAGCATTATAATATTAATTCAGTGAAATTTACTCTCTGGATGTAAATCAAGTTGAATCCTTAATTGATACAGGAAGCTTTGACAATTTTATATCTGAGACTATTAACGTCGTCCTGTAACCCAACTACTCGGAGGTCACGAATTGTGGATATTTATAGGCATGCTCTGTGGATGTTCATGTCTTACTCCCTGGTGTGGACTAACGTCCGAACTAGTGAGTACTACAACTATCTGCAGTACTATTCTGATAATCAGACCAATTTGTTTGATTACAAGAACGCGCCACTCATCCTACACTTATCTCCATTTATACTTGGCCTACTTTGTACCTATATATACCTACCTTGTATGGTCGTCATTTCAATGAAAAGAAAAAGTATTTAAGTAATTAGTTTTGCTTTATAACGAATATTTTCTCAAATTAGGAATACAGTTTATAATGTATTTTTGAGAATCGGTTTTTAACTTCTAGAACTATGGAAAAAATCGGATCGACGTTATTCAATGGAATCTATCTAACGTACGATGCTATCAACTAAAGCTCAGATCCTCTTACAGCATTCAACCATAGTTGTTAGTCTAGATTCAACCTTCAACTAAACAATCGTATGTAGTAAAGATAATGCGGGCTACACACACTACACACACCACTGACGACTGGACTGAACAGCGCTGCCACCTCTCGGCAGATCAGGGAACTACTTCTAGCAGCGACAACGTTCTCCACTTCTGATATCTCGTAACGGTCGAAATTTCAAACACTGTGCACTGTGCAGTGCATTTGTGACGTGATGAACGATGAACATGTGACATATACAGTAAATGCACTAATGCAGTTGTCCTTACCTATTTTTTAACCGACTTCCCCACTACCACTCTCAATTTGTCTGTGGCGATGTTTTTTTTTTCTATGTATGTTCACCAAATTTCTCTGTGATTCTTTTACTGATCAGCGTGGTTCCACCACCAAAATAACCAGGAGAGTTTCTATTTGGTACCATATATAGCATTATGTTTAAGAAAAATATTTGTTTGGTGAAAAATGCTGGTGACCTCAAATATTCAACATTTATTGTTTACATTTTTGCAGAGAAGACAATAAATAATAATAACATTCCTACAGCTGTTAGTTAAAACCATTTAAATGAAGCTACAGCTACAGTCTCTTCATGAAACAGTTGCTTCATATTGATTAATAAACTATTTCTTGCCATGAAGCCTAAATAAGTTACATTGAAAAAATGCATTTTGTTTTGGTTACTATAAAAAAGGTATTTCAACGTTTGACCTGATTTGTTATGATTCTGTTTTGAGTATTGAATGTTCTGACTTACAAAAACATAGTGAATAGCTGTATGATATTGACAATTAAAGCTGGGTTTTCCTAGGCGCGGAAGCGGAGAGCGGAGAGAGGAACGCGGAGAGCGGAATTGAAATTAACATGGCATTCCGCTCCGCTTCTAGGAAAACAGTAACATTAAATTACCTAAGACAAGTGGAGTCCGCTCTCCGCGTTCCTCTCTCCGCCGGTGTCCTCCTGATTGCGAACAGTCCTGATTGCGAACAGTCCAGACTGCGAACATGTTTGGGTCTACGAGGTGGAGGGGGTCGTCCGTGGGGTGGGGAGGATTCCTGATTGCGAACACATTTTGAGTGGTTGGGGTTTTCAACCCTTTCATATAACCCTTTCATAAACCCTTAACAGAATGATTTAGCCTAAATCACAACTTAAGACTGGTAATATACATAATGGAAAGGATGAATGTTCTTGAAGACACATATCTTTATGAGACGTAGTATAATTAGGTGGTAAAGCCCCTTATTAACAGACAGATTCTTCCAGACTCACAAATTCGTTCTGATAATAGGTATTTAAATTGGCTGTTTATTTAAAATTAATTATAATATGTTTGACTTGAACAAGCAACTACTAAACAATCTCAGAGTAAAGGAAATAAAACAATCATTTCATATGAACTAGGGTACCTGTTGCTCGAAATCGAGCAACTGTCAAGTGCAGGTATTATAGGTACAGAAGTTATTTTAAAACTACAGTAATAACAGTAATAATTTTCGATGAGTTTAAAAGACCCGACTAAATGCTTATGTGACTAATTGTAATACCCACGCTATTAAATAGCTCTTTGATATAATAAAGGCTTCTTGTATTTTAGAATTTTTTGGACCCGGCCTTATTTTTTAGTGTTTTCTACAAATGTTTCCCGACTTAAAGCTTTTAACCAGTAAACATTTCTTGCATGTATTTATTTGTTCGGACTTTAGGTAGGTTTACTTTATCACTGTGACAACATCTGTTGTATATTCTTCATGTTTTTAAGTTGCTTAGCATAACTGACAAAAATGATTCATCTCCCCAAGTGAGTGTGTACCTGGATTCCTTACTGTGAGACCAGGCCTCTCCTCTACTCTTCTTATTCGTATAAGATTTCCTATTAATTGTCTCCTCCTCCTGTTTTCAACATTTCTCCTTTAAACTCAAGAAATTGTCTGTTCTTCCAACAAAACTGATTGACTGTTTAGATTTGTCTATTACCTCATAAATATTACAAACATCGATATTTACTCCCAAAAAGCTGGTGAGTTTCTTTTTATATACAGTTGTTTTTGTTTTTAAATTTGCTTTCAATGTAATTCTTATGGGGAAGATGCGACCTTTGATAGCGTCTCGTGCCCTTAAGGGTAAGAGTTTTTTAAGTTCTAAAACGTTTATGCAATACTACAAATTGAGACGAATTATTTGACACCTCAAACGTTAAAATCGGTCCAGAAATAACGGAGGAGTTTTGTTCACAAAAATAGCCTCACATATTAATATAAGAGAAACTGACTATAATTAGCCGAAATATCATGCATTTGCCAATATCACATTCCAAACTCAATCATTACCTAAAAAAACATCGTCAACGAGCAATTTAAATAGCAACTAAAATAAATACCATACTTACATACATCTTACATCCGAAATAACATGTATATGCATTACACATTACAACATAAATCATTCAATCACATTCCCAACTCAACAAGCAATTAAATCTCACGTTCAACAACAGCTACTAAACCATCTTTACAGATTCAAAAATATTTGTTCGCAGTCTGGACGACTCATGTTCAGGTAGTCCACAGCATTTTTGAGGTGTTCGCAGTCTGGACGATTTTACCCTTGTTCGCAATCTGGACTGTTCGCAATCAGGACACAACCTCTCCGCCAGCCGACTCCGCGCCTAGGAAAACCCGGCTTTAAGGAGTATTGTGAAAACCAAAGTATTCGTAAAAGAGGTCCAAATATAAACTAGATGCAATTATTCCTTAAACGACATAAGAGGTGTGAGATTGCATAATCGTCAATCGTCTTAAAAGTGTTAAATATTTTAATCACTCATTTTAATCATTTTAATGCATTTGAAGATGTGGAATGTTTATTTATATTCTTCACTGTCAATAATATTGTGCCTGATTCGGAAATGGGAAGCTGATTTGCAATTTCGACCACATCTTGAGCAAACAAAACCACCTACCCCTTACACCACTTTTAGCTGAACTAATCATATACGTATTTTTCAAAGGTAATATACTGTACGTGATGACAACCAATTTTCTACTTTTAAGAGATTTTTTAGTGCTGGTGGCGGAGGAACAACTTTCTTATTGTTCCAAAAGGCTTAGTTGGGACCTTACTGTATTTCGTTTTATAATGTCGTTTTATAATGTGTTTTAGAATGTCGTTTTATAATGTTTTATGTGTATGTGTTTTATAATGTTATTGGTACACCAATTGCAGGAAACGATGATGTCTGGCATTTCAATGTCTCTAGGAAAGACATTTAGTTTTTCATTAGGCCTAATGTAATGGACAACTCATTGTTTTTTTTTTTTATCCAAAAATGTTAGTTTTTAATACCCATTGATTATGTAACCTGAACAGGTGACTCAAGCAGTTTAAAAATAATGATTGTTCTGTGGCACTTTTGATTGTTTCAAACAGTTTTGCTTATCAAAAAACTTCAAGTCACTAAAAATCATGAAATAATTTATTTTTGTAAAAAATACAACCGAATTCAAATGCTCTAAAAAGAATGAAATAATTTCAGTAAAGTAAACTTTTGTATTAGTTAAGCTCACGTATTTCAAGTCGGGCTCTAACTGCAAAAATATGAATAAAATAAAAGATATTGAGAGTGTATTTTGAAAATCAATTAATTGTCGCTGGATAACATAAATATATAAAAAAAACATACTGAACTCTTTTGTTTAAATATATCAAAGGAAGTATTTTCTTGTATTTATGTTTACTTCAGAATGATTGCATAGTGAAAATAACACACACAAATGTTCTATACGAAAAGGAAAATTATTTATTTTGATATTATGATAGGGAAAATAAGCTAGTTTGAAATTAAAACGTTACTTTTCCAAGTTAAAAATATGTAAATGCATTATAATCTTTTTTAAAGATGTTCGATAATACCACTATAAGATTATAATCACCTTTAGTTATAGATAGTCACCTGCAATGTGGACATCCTATTTAAATTGTGTATCAAAAATCATCATAGAGCCGCGCGCGCCGACTTAAAATACAAAAGTTTACTTTACTGAAATTATTTCAT